TTTTTTTTTTTTTTTGAGACAGGGTGTCTGTACATAGTTCAGCTGCTGGGATTAGAGGCATGCACCACCATGCTCAGCACAAGATCTGTGTCTTAAAAATTTTTTTTTTCTGATTCCTTGGAGGGAGTAGGAGCAGGTAACAGTACTGTTTTGGGGAAATGCTACAGTTGTTTGGGCCAGAGATGGTGGCTTCCACAGGATGGTGGTGGAGCACCTTCACTGTGTTTTCTGGAAAAGAATTAAGAGGGAAGTGAGGAATTGAGGGTTTTAGGCGATGGAATGAGGTACACATGGTTAAGGATGCGGCTAATATTTTCTGCCCTCCAGTGCCGAGTGCTTTATCCCTGCATCTTCTAAAAGAGGCACACGACATCGTTTAACCCTGCTCAGAGTCATCTGAGGCACCATCTTGCAACATGGCAGCCATCATACTGGTAGTCAGTGACTCCACCATTGTGGCAGCCACTGGGGATTAACCCAGGCCTCAAGCATGCTCGGCAAAGGCTCTACAATGAACTATGTCCCAGCCCTTTTTAGGGCTTTTGAGACAGGGCCTGGCCTTAAATTTGTGATCCTCCTGTTTCTGCCTCTGGGATAACAGGCAGGTACCACTGCTGGTGGACACTTGCTCTGTATTTCTATGGGACAGCACTGCCTACATCATTTTTTTAAAATCCCCACACCCAGAGGAACAGATGTGCAGTAAGTAGTAGCATGTTTGGGGGACCCTGCAGCTAGGGTACAGGGGAAGGCTTGTCCCAGGTCTGTGTGAATTCCAGGTCTGGGTGCTCTCTCCTCCCTCATGAGGGATGAGTTGGGGACAGGGAGTGGAAGAAGGGACTCTGAGGGGAAGGGAAGGCTGTTACCTTCTCCTTTGGATCCCTGCTCGTGCTCAGGTAGGCAGCTGTGAAGAAGACAGAGGCAGAGGGAGGGGTCTGTGGCTGTCTGAGGTGGTGGGGAAGTGGCCTCCCACACCGCCAAGGGGACTCGACTCACCAGTCCAGCCCAGCGCCTTGATGAGTCCGAGGAGCAGAAAGGCAGACAGGAAGAGGCCTACGCCGTCGTCCAGCAAGGGCCCAGAAAGGCCTGGCAGGCGAAGGAAAGAGTGAGCTTCCTGTCTGGCAGGCGCTGCCAGCCTCCACGGCCCTCGCAGCTCTCACCTGCCACTTCCACCCTGATGACGGCGCTGTGCCCCACGGCGGGCAGGCTGGGGTGGTGGACACGACAGGCATAGTGCACGCCATGGTGCTCGGCGGTGAGCGGGGGCGGCTGGAAGTGCCCGGAGAGGCTGACGGAGCCATCGGCGTGGTGGTGCAGGGCCGAGAGCCACCTCTCCCCCTCGGCCTTCTGCCAGCGGCCACCTGGGCCCCCTTGGAGCTCCCACTCCACCTCCAGGTCCTCGGGAGGGTAGAAGCGGGACACGAAGCAGAGCAGCTCTGGGGGGGCCTCCCCCGGGGCAGCCCAAACGAGGGCAGCCGGCCTCAGCGACACTTTGGGGGGCTCTGGGGAAAGAGCAAGACACAAGTGTGAGGGGCTCAATCCACACTGTCCTCAGTGTGTCCTCAGGTGTGTGGAACACTGGGTTGCGATTTCTAGGGACAGGGAATCCACTATCTTCCCCATGGGTGCTTCATGGGAATCCCCAAGACAAAGTCACTTTGATTCTCAGCCTCCCCGCACACACACATAGGAGACCCCAGGTGCCACTCACGGTTCACGGCGAGCTGCAGGGCAACCTGTCCTTGCAGGTATGGCAGGTGCACCGTGGCCAGGTAGGTGCCCTCCTGAAATGGTCGCACTGCTGGCAGCCAGAAGGTGCCGTTCCCGGTCCATGGGCCCCAAGGCCCATCTTCGTCCCAAGCAGCGAACGCCACTGCCCCCTCTCGGGCTGACGGCACCTGCCCTTCCAGCCCGGGAGTCGCGGCCAGGAGCAGGTGCCCCTTACCCAGGTGCTGGCGTCGCCACTCCAGCCCAAAGGGAGGGGGCCCTGTGGCCAGGGCAGTGACGGGCTCGGGGACAGGTGGTGTATAGGCAAAGCTCAGGTCCAGCACGGTGTCCTGTCCCAGCCGGACTCGGGAGGCAGGGGTGTGGGTAAGGACAGTAAGCACCACTGGAAAGGAAGAGGGGCAGGAGGGGAGAGTCCACTGGGCCACCCTCACAGTCCTCCCTGCAAGTCCCTTTGCCCCAGGACAGGTGGGGGCCTGAGTGGCTGGGAGGGCGCCACCCTTCAAGCCTGCTCTGAACATGGCTCACTCAAGCTGCAGGTTTGGCTTTTATTTTTCAAACAGGTCTCCCTGGTATTTCAGGCTGGCCTCAACCTCACATCAATCCTCGGCCCCAGCCTCCTAAATGCTGAGATTACAGGCCTGCGCCCCCACACCTGGCAGGTTTAATACCTCTTGGATAACATGACACCTGTATGAAAGGTACTTAGAATGGTGCGCAGAGCACAGGAAGTTAACAATAGTGTTGGCTAAGTGTGTGCCTGTCTGCCAGGCAGACTTACTCGGGCAGATTAACCCCACTCGGCATTGTCTGCCAGCGTCCCTCCGTGTGCTCCACGGCCACAGTCCCTGCCTCTCATGAGCAGCCCATCAGCCCCCCAGACACCAGTGGAAGACACCTAGAGTCTCTCAAAAGTCCTTCCTCTCACTTGTTCAACAGATACGTCCTGAGCACATAGGCTGCTCAAGGTACAGTGGTACAGGACAGAATAACGTACCGATAGGCAGTCCCACACTGGGCGAGGTGGCACATGTGTGTAATCGCAGCACTTAGAGGCTGAGGCAGAAGGATCCCTGTGAATCCAAGGCCAATTTGAGCTACGTAGAGACCCTGCCTCAAGAAAAATGTAGTCCCTGTCCTTAAATTGCATACCATCTAGCCAAAGATAATATTCCCTGATACATCTGACATCTGTTTCAATGCTGGTCCTCCGCACTGTACATTTGAACAATTATAGGAGCCTCTTCTCTGGTCTCCCTAATATAAGTCTCCTCTGGTTCATACTCAAGCCAAGTAGTGAGGCTATTAGTCTGATCAGGTCACTTGTCCAACCAAAAAGTCCACTGCTGGGCTGGGGATTTATCCAGTGGCACTGCACCTGCCTTGCAAAAGCAAGGTCCTGAGTTTGAGCCTCAGTACTAAAAAAACAAAAATCCTACTGGGGGATGACAGTGCTCTAGTACCAGCTACTTGGGAGGCTGAGCCAGGAAGACTACTTATGCCCTGAAACTTGGGAGTATCCCAGGCAACACAGTGAGAACCCAACTCAAAAGAAAGAAAAAATACTGCTAACCAAGGTCAATTGCTAAAGATACAGCCCAGAGCTTGAAGCCTGGGTTCAATTTCAAGCTCTACTTTTTACAAGCTGCTTGTCCTTGGATAAGTTACCTAACGGCTCCGTATCTCATATTTCTTCATCTGCAGTATTGCAATAACAATACCTGGTCATGGTGGCCCACACCTGTTATCCAGCACTGAAGAGGCTGAGGCAGGAGGATCTCCAAAAGTTTGAGGCCAGCCTGGACTACATAGGGAGACCCTGTCTCAAAAGGAAAACAAAAAACATTCATACCTATGTCCTGTGATTTTGGAGGAATAAATGCCATCATGCATAGAAAGTGTTGAATGGGGCCTGGCATATAGGTGACCATCAATAAATGTCGGTTACTATTTTCATTAACAATTACTGTTGTGGACTTGCTGGGCCCCTTGGGAAAATACAGTATTTCTTCACTAAGTCCCATAATCCAATCCTTGCCTACGTTTTGTGATAATCAAGAAAATAACAGGCTTTTTGAAAAAGTGACTGCCTCTCAAGCAATTTCTGATTTATTATTACCTACAGAATAAAATCCAGCCCTCAAGATACTTGAAAACCCTGCTCCTAAACCATCTTTCCAGACCTCTCTTGTACCCTTAAAACCAGCCCCATGGCCTATTGTCATGGTGCACACCTGTCATCCCAGCATACAGGGAGGCTGAAGCAGGAGGATTGCCATGGATTTGAGGCCAGCCTGGGCTACAGGAGACCCTGTCTCAGAAAAACTTTCTCAAAAAAAAAAAAAAAAAAAAAAAGACCAGCCACATAAAATTCCTGCTTTTGTGCCTAATAACCTTTCTCCTCCTCGGGCCTGTGCTCTGGCCATGCGATTCCTTCAGTTTACAGTGTCTCATTCTCAGATATCCATATGCCTGCTCTGTGTCCTCCAAGGTCAGTTCCACTTCTGCTACTTCCCAGAAGTACCTGGGTCCTCCAAGAGCAAGTGATGTTTTTCTTGTAATTATGTTTGTTTTAGTATATTAGTTTTTATGTTGCAGTTCTGGGGATCAAACCCAAGGCTTCCTCCATCCTAGGCCAGAGCTGTATCACTGGGCTACCGTCCCACCCCTATTTGTGGTTTTTGAGAGCAGGTCTCACTGTATTCTACCAACTGGCCTTGAACTAAAGTGGTCCTCTTGCCTCAGCCTCCTGAGTAGCTGAAAGTACAGGCACGGTGCCTGGCTGGCTATTTCATTTTAATCCTGGCTTCTGAAACCTGTAATGTTAAACTTATCAACCTGAGATTGTTTTAGTCACTTAGTTTATCAAAATCCAGAAACACACTTTTAAATTGTTTTTTAAAAAATCCACCAGATTAATAAACAATGTAAAGGCTTTGTATGTAACATTTAACAGTGATTTTTTTTTAGATGGTCTCACTATGTAGCCAGGCTGGCCTTCAACTCACTATGTAGGCCCAGCTGGCCTTGAACTCACAGTGATCCTCCTGCTTCAGCCTCCCAAGTGCTGGGATTACATGCGTGGGTCCCCAAGTCCAGCCCCACCCCATTTTTATATTTTGAGACCAAATTGTGAAGGCTGGCCTTGAATGCTTTCAGTCCTCCCAGCTCTGTGCAATTACAGGTGTGCACCACCATCCAGGCTTGGGTCACGATTTTGAACCCTACCTGGGGAATTTAGCGAGCCCCTGTCTAAATTTCGTTTTTAAAGGGGTAGGAGGAGCTGTGGATGTAATAGTGCTAGAGTGTCTGCCTCTGGGTTCCATCCCCAGTACTGCAAAAAGGAAAAGACAATAGTAAAGATAAAAGTGGGCTGAGGACATAGCTCAGTGTGAAGGCCCTGTTCAATCCCCAGTACCAAGAAGAAGGGAAAAAAAAAAAAAGACGAGGACGATCATAGGCCAGAGACTGGTGCACTGCGTGTCAGGGTGGAAGCCCTCACCTCCAGTGCGCAACCTGGAGCGTGGCCCTTCAGAGTGAGGACACAGTGAGGCTCTAATGGGACAGGACGTGGTGTTTACCAGAAAAGGTGGAAACCCAAAGCTGTACGCCCTGTGAGGACGCAGCGAGGAGGAGGCCTCACCGCAGCCACCCCATCAGGGACTCCAAGCTCCAGAGAAAACTTTTCCGTTGTATAAGGCCACTCAGCCCGTGGGATTTTGTTGCGGCAGCCTGCACGGACTAAATGTCACAGCAAAATATATCAACATGTTTTGAAATTTGAACAAATCAAAATGATGCCCTTGAGAGAATCATCACGCTTTCACAGGAATTCGTGATCCGTTCGTTTCTTTTGGTTTTTTGAGACAGGGTCTCCAGTTGTTCAGCTCGGCCTGGAACTAACTCCCCCGATCTGGATCTAGCACTGCTTAGATCACAGCAGGAGGGGCGTTTTGTTTGTTTTTAAAATGCTTTGGGGGTTTGAGCCCAAGACCGCACGCCTGACTCCACCACCGAGCTGCAGCCCAGGCTGTGTGAATGAATCGCTTCCCCCTGGACTTTTAACAGTGCGCACCTCCTCCAGGGCGCTTCTGTTCCGGGGCAGGGTTGGCGGAAGCGAGGGCTCGGGAGAGGCGCGAAGGCTGGTTTTTGAAATAGGGTGAACTGCAGCGGCGAGGGTACCAGGCAAGACACGGATTCGGGAGGAACGGAGAGAAAGGTCCCTGCTCCTGAGCCCCTCGGGCCGCGGCGCCTTGCAAGGCTCTCAGCCCGGCCGTGCAAGCTCCGCCTCCGTGCAGCCCCACCCCGGAGCTGCGGGCGGTTTTTATTTTTCTGGTTGAGTGCTCGAAAGACTGGTAGAGGAAGGTTAATCTTAACCGAGCAGTCTCGGTTTGCAAAAAAGGAAACTGACCCTGGACTGGCGGAATGGCTCGTGAAGCCCACCCATCTCCACCTCCCCTTCCCACCTACCTGTTGCCATGGTGATGAGGACAGGCTCTGGCTGAGGACCCGGCTGCGATCGCAGGAGGCTGGAGAGGCCCAGGAACGGACTGGTCACGCTGACCATC